GGCAGGCTGAGCCTCGGGTTTGCAGGAACAAGGAATGCCCATTGGATGGCAGACACAAAAACCCGAGTGCCTGAGGCTTAGCCTTGGCTTATGAACATGGTTTGGACTCCCAGTGCTCATGGGGGTTGGGGATAGGGTAGATGCCTTTGAAGGCCAGCCCAGCTGGAACAGGCTATGTGGCTTCCCAGCAGCAGTGAATCTCCCCGCCTCTCAGAACTGGGCCATGGCTAGTACAGGAAGAGGTTACCTCCATGCCCTCAGCCAGGAAGGGGCACCGGTCATTGTGTGCCCAAGGCCTTCCAGGAGCTACAGTTGTGAGGTCCCAGCCCCCTCGGGGACTGTACCTTCAGGCCATGTCTTGGTTCTTAGGCTGTATCTCTTGGTTCATAGCCCTGGTGGCATAGTGGTTATCAATTAGGCTGATAACTGCAAGGTCAGCAGTTCGAAAACACCAGTCACTCCATGGGAGAACGATGGGGGCTTTCTACTCCCGCAAAGAGTTAACCATCAGAAATTCACAAGGGAGTTCTACTCTGTCCTATAGAGCCTCATGGAGTTGGCATCAACTGGATGACGGTGATTGAGGGGAGTCGAGTTGAATTGAGTTGAGGTGACAATGCGTGGCCTTTTGCGAGCATGACAGACAGGGGCAGCGGCTGGCCAAGGCTTAAAGCTCCCAACGCCACTACCCTACGGCCAGCCTGGAGGAGAGCTCCGCACATGGCCCCTCAGAGCTCAGGAGAGGGCAGGATCTTCATGGTGGGGGGCCTGAGTGGAGGCTGGGGATCTTGTCCCTACAGAATCCAAGGCTGCACTGCCCCTGGGTTACAGGCCCACACAGGCATACCCACACACAGGATGCGTGTGCTCACAGCACTTTCATACACGTGTGCATACGGACACACTTACCAGCCAGCCCACCAACATACACCTAGCCACATGTGCACGATTACAAATACTCCTGGTGGCCTGCATGCAGGGTCTGGGCAGCCTGACTTTAAGGTGGGATCCCAGAGAGCAGGTCTTGAGAGTGAGTCTCATCCTCAGCCTGGAAAAGAACATGCCGATCCCCTCTCTGCCCTACAGTGTGGACAGCTGGAGCACCTGGGCAGTGAGGAGAAGCCCCCTCCTAGGCAGGAAAGAGCCCGCTTGGAGGGGCAGGCATCCTCTAGCACAGGAACGGCCCTGTCTGAGGCTCTTCCCTGACTGACTGCCCCTGCTTTCTGCAAACTCCCTGCTGGACAGGCGCTGGCAGTGGGCGGGTCAGCAGCCTAGCGCGGCTGGCACTCCTGCTTCTTCGGGGGCCCAGCAGACAAAGGGGAGGGCCTCGTGCTAGCCAGGTGGGCCTCATCAATGGAGCAGCAGCAGCAGCAGGAAGAACCCCCTGCCCCCATCAGGCCCAACAAAAGCCCCCGGGAAACCTGAGCACTCTCACACAGGCGCCTGGCCTGCAGGCGGGCAGGGCTGGCCAGGCAGGCCTCTAATGGAGACCAGATGGGCTGTGGTTGATGGGAGCGGGCCAGAGCTGAGCTGAGAATTCAGTGGGGAGGGGGAGCTGAAAGAACCAGAGGCAAGGAGCACCCCCCACCTAGATATGGGAGTCGACTGCAGGGTTACTGGAGCCACTGCCCCTCCCAGGGCCACCCAGGAAGCAGCCCCTCAGTCCACTTGGTTGGAATCCCAGGCCCTCCTGCCCATTGGCAACGAGGCGGTCAGCTCTCAGGGTCTTGGCTTCCTGCTTGGCATCACCAGGTCTCATGGGGATGAAAGTGTCCACGTAGTGCCTCCCGGCACACAGTGAACGCCTGCCGGGTATGGGGCTGGCACGGTGACGCCTGGCCCCCATGTCTGGATCCCTCCATGTGGCGGGCCACCTGGTACCACAGGCTCCTCCTTTGTGGGTTCCCAACCCAGCTGCCGACTTGGTTGTTTGAGCCTCAGTGGGGTGGTCAACAGAATGGTGTCATCTGCATGCTCATCAGCGCCCCCAAGACTGTGGTCAGAATCCAGGGCAGTCAGCATGGATGAAGATGGAGGTGGGTACTAGATGAACAGGTGGCAGCTTCCAAAGGCCAGGCTCCAGCTCTCTGCAGGCCACAGGTGCCAGACCTACCTGCCCTTCTAGCTTCCTTCTACACTCCGCCCCTCCCCCCCTTTAGTTCTCAGGGGGAAAGGCCACCTCCTCCAGGAAGCCATCGCTCCACTCTCAGCTGGGAAAAGTGTCTCTTGATGGTACTCACACCTGGAGCCTGGGAGGAGGGTCTCCTATGAGCTGATGGGGAAACTGGCCTGAAGCCACAGCTAGCCCTGTCCCATCTCAGTTGGGGGTGTGTGTGCCAGGGGTACCCTGTGCTTGTCCCAGGGCCAAGTGTGTTACCCTGCTCTCATGGCTCCAGCTGGGCTCATCCCCCCTCCCCACCCTGCTGGCAGAGTGGGGGCAGTGTGGGGACAATGGACCTTGTGTCTGTTAGGACACAGCCCGCAGGGGCTGGGTGGGAGTGTTTCTGTCGCCACCCAAGGAGCCATGACCTTTGAGTACAAAAGGAGAGCAGTGGCCGAGGGCTGCCCTCCTGCCTGTGGAAAATCCCTCCTCTCCAGCCTGAGTCACTGGCAGCCTGGCTTGGAAGGGAGTCACTGGGGACAAGCCCTTATCCCCCCAGGCCCACGGGTCCCGAGTCTCTCCTGGGGGACTGTGCAGAGCCTCTAACTTTAACTTCCCGAGCTCAGGGCTCTTGTCCTGTCTGGGCCCTGCTGACTCAGAAGAAGCTGAGTCTCACACATGGGCAGGGGGCCCTCGCTGTGCTGATGACTGCTGGATCCTAGCCTAGAGTTACCCCTGCCACCAGTGTCTCAGATCCCTGGGGTGACAGGAACAAGCGTCTGTGACAGGGGTTTGGGTGTTCTTTGTTCTGCAAAGAACAGAGAAGTCAGAGTCCGATGGAGCTGGGGAGCCTCTCCGGGGGCCTCCAAGGCTCCTCTGTTCTCTGCACCTGTGCTCTGTTCTTTGCACGTGCTCTCTGAGCATCCTCCCTTGGCCTTCAGATCCTGGCCTGGTGGTCCCATCCTCCAGGAAGCCCTCTCTGACCCCTTGGCTAAGTCACAGCTCCACTCTGGGCTCCTCCAGCCACTGGCTTCCTACATCCCAGAACTGCTAAGCACACCCCTGCCAGATCGATACCTGCTGGCACGCGGCAAGCAGCAGGCCTCCAACCTGTCAACAAGGACAAGGAGGGGACAAGGGAGGGAGCAGGATGGCATGTCGGTACCTGGTGAGGTGGCGCCGAGGAAGATCCTTCCTCCTAGGTCAGCAAACTGCCCCTTTCTCCCCAGGGGCGAGAGGGGACACAAACAGGCCCAGGAAGCCATGAACCTAAACCCTGGGCCACCTGCTTCTGGCTCTGCCACTGACCAACCCGATCTTCCCCTTGTCCGCATCCTGTGGTACCTTGGCCCCCCGCATGTCCATGGCCAATGAGGTCCCAGAGGCCCACCTTCCTCTCCTTGACTCCTGCCAATCTCCGTCGAGGTGATTGGCAGACCGGCCTGCAGTTGAGGGCTCAGGACGGCCCAACAGAGCCTTCGCCTTGGGCTAAGGTCTGCTACTGCCAGACCAAGTGGGTGCCTGAGTATCGGCATGTCCTACAACTCCCAGTTACCCCTCCTTAAGTTTGGTGACTCCTCCCGGTTCAGGCACTGGGGACCTGAGTGGACGCCAGTTGGTGAGTGGTAAACCCTGCCATAAGGCCCAGTCTAGCCCCTTCCCGCCGTAAGTCCTTCTGTTTCAGAATCCAGGCCTTCTTAGGCTACAAGAGAGTCCCAGGCAGTGCCCACCACCCTGGGAGAAAAGGCAGGCCATGGAGCTGGTCGAATCCTTCTGCTTCTCTGGGCTCTATCCAGGCATCAGAGGGCAGTGCACCAGGTGGACCTGTGGGCCAGGCAGGTCAGGCCTGGCTGGGCAGCTGTGTCTATACATACCTGAGCCTCAGGGTCGATGTGGATCCGGTGGGCTTGGGCCTTGCTGTCCTCAGGGGCATTGGGCCAGCTCTTTGCCTCGGGCCTGTGGCAGGAATTGGGATGGTCATATGTATATACATCTACCTACCATGCCCATCGGGGGCTGAGAATTGGAGGCACCCAAGACCAAGCCTGGTGTCCTGTGGGAAGCACACAGTCCATCCCACCCCCCAGCACCACAACAATGGCCACTGTGACAAAGACACATCTTGGGCCCCTTTCGCTCTGGCCTGGTCCTTGAGGAGGTCGGAGCAGGAGTCCAAAGCTTCCCCACTCTGCTGCCCTCTCTGTCGCTAGCCGTTGGAGGGATGGGGGGCTCACACCCTGATCAGGGCCCTTTCCAACCCGAGGAGGGTCTCCTAGGAGCCCATCTGCCCACCTGTCATCTGCCATCCATGGGCTGGGCCGGGCCGGGCTGGGGGTCAGACCTGCACAAGCCCCACGAGGGTGGACTGGAGGCTCTGAGTGTGTGCCTTCACTGCTGCTGCTGCCGGCAGGCAGAGTCACCACCGTTGTCTGCCCAGCCCAGATGGGAAACAGGCCATTAGGACATTCCTGCTTCGCCATAGAAACCAAACGGCAAACACCACTCAGGAGGGAGGAAAAACATCGTAAACCTGCTAGAAGTGGGGCAGGCCTGCCGAGACATTATGCTTATGGGAGACATTGTGCTTATGAGTTGGGCACTTGGGCCTGCTACTCAGTCGCCCTGAGAGAAGATAGCCTGGGGGGTGGGGCGGGGGTGGGGGGTGGGGAGGGACGGTGCTGCTGCCTGGATCCCGATTGTGCACAGGGCCTGGCTCTCTGGGCTGCCACTCCCTGGCAGTGGTCAGGGGTGTCAGGTGGTGCTGGCTAGACCAAAGGGGAACAGCGGCCTCCTGGGGCTTCTCTTCCCTGCAATAACCCAAGGCTGCTTTGACTCAGCCGAGGTGAACCACCAGTTACAGTCCACACATCCACTCTGTACTTCCTCCTCTCTGCCTGTTCCATCCCTCCCTGCAGACCACCTCTTTGCTCCACGGCCTTTGGTGGGCCCTGGCATCAAGGATCTGCTGCCCAGAGGCTTACTACCAACCCTGCCCCCCTTTCCAGCCCCTCAGCCAAGCTCCCAACTGTATCCCCTAATTCACAACTCCAAATACCCCCAGGGTAAACATGGGCATCTAGCGTAGCCCTGTGACCTGCATCTCCCTGAAATTCTGCCCCCAACAGGTCTGAGAGTGAACCACTTGCTGAAGGAGAGCACCGTTCTCAAGAGCAGGGCAGAGAATGCTCCCTCACCTGCTTCTTAGCCAGGCTGTGCTTTAGGACAGGGATGCCCAGAGCAGAACAGGCCTAGGCGCAATGGACCCCTGGTTCCATCCATGCCTGCCCTGGAACAAATGACCAGGCAAGGGAGGAAGGAAGCAAGGGAGACCTCCCGCTCTCCCTCCCCTGACATCATTGCCTCTGGAAACCTAGTCCAGGCTCCTGACTCAGACCCCCTTCGCATCCCCCTTCATCAGGGCTCCCCTTGGTCATCCCTACACAGCCAAAGCCAGAGGTGAGTCAAGGCCCAGGAACCCGGCCAAGCGGGGCGGCCTCAGAGGCTACCCATTGCCAGAGCAGTGCTGCCTGCTCTTCCAGCCTGCACCTCGCTCCAGGAGAGGGCTAGGAATGGGATCCTGTTTCACGGGGGAGGAAGGCCAGGCTCGCAGAGTTCACTGTAGTAGGAGGGTCCCAGTCTGGGTGAAGACTAGCTTTGCCAGATCCCTGGGCCAGGGTCTCCTTGCTATGTGGCAACTGAAGTGTACAAGGCCCTGGACTTATAGCCAGGCCTGCTCATCCGGGAGGGCACAGCAAGGGTCCCAACTGCACCCCCGGCATGGGCCAGGCACTGAGGGGGGCTCCTTTGGGAGTCTTCCTACCACATCGTTAGTGATGGCTCTGGGCCCATGGATCACCCTGCCCCCTACGCCAGCTCAAGGCTGCTGTGGAGACTGGAGGCTTCGCCCACAGACATCCACAGGAGTCCTGGAAAGTCCCTGTCAACAGTGAACACAGCTGAGCAGAGCAGTTAGATCTGACTCCCCCGGGCTCAGGCAGGGCGGTAGAGCCGAGAGGCTCCACTCAGCTGTAGCCAAGCTGACTGTCGGTCAGACCTGACCCAAGGCTCAGGTAGGGGACAACTCAGCAGGCATAGGTCACGGTGAGGCCTTGCTCCCTCCTCCCTTCCCCTCACTCGGGCGCAGCGTTACCCAGTTCACGGTAAAGCACCGAGAATCAAACGGGCAGGGGCCTGGGCCATGAGGGGTCGGCTAAGGGGCAGCAGTGAGGCAGGGAGATCCGGGCATCAGCCAAGCAGAAGGAATGGAATCGCTAAGTGAGAGACTAGAGGGAGGTTAAACTTTGCTTCCCAACTCCCCTGCTGTGCGACTGTCAGCCCTGAGTGAGGTTCCCAGGAGCGGTAAGGCACCAGGGGCTGACAGCCCAGGCCCACACCTCTCCTTTCTGAGCCTTAGCTGTCTCATCTGGGTACTATATCAGGTGTTAAAGGGTTAAACGAGGTGCTGGACAAAAAGTGAGTTTTGAAACTAGCCTTAAGACAAAGAGGGGGAAGGACTGACTTCAAGAGGAGTATTTCCCAAAGTGGGCGATACCCCCCTTAGGGGGTGCTGGAATGATCCAAGGTGACTACACTATCCTGGATTAGGGGCTATAGTACAAAAGTTTTTCATTGCCAGGGGAGCTCTGAGTAATTTTTCTGTCACTCTCTTTTCCCCTGAAAAGGGGGTGGTAGGTCAAACAAGTTTGGAAACTTGTGCTCTAGACCCAAGATCTTATTTCCACCGGGATTTTATGTGGCATCGTAGGCTGTGTGTCGGGCTGCTAACCACAAGGTCAGCAGTTCAAAGCCACTAGCTGCTCCTCGGGAGCAAGAGGAGGCTTTGCACTCCTGGAAAGAGTTACGGTCTAGACAACCCACAGGGCCAGTTCTACCCTGTCCTGCAGGGTTGCTGTGAATTGGAATCAACTCAATGACAGCAAATCTGGTTTTCCTTTGCGGGGCAGGGGTGGGGCCTTACACCAGGCCATCAGTGCCTCAATACACTCCTCGTCCTGAGTTGCTTCTAAATCCTCTCCACCCCACCCACTCCCCCCACCATGAAAGCACTACTCCTCAGGGCTGCAGAAAGGTAGTAGGGTGCTGCTGCCCATTCAGGGCCCACCTGCCCCACCTGCTGTCCGCGTGCATACCGGCTCACAGAGAGAGTAAGGTGATCCTGGCAGCCCTTGATGCGGTTCTGCGCCTCCAGGTGTGTCATGAGCTCCGTGCTCTCCCCATTGATGGCTTGGATCAGGTCTCCGGGGCAGAGGGAAGCCAGTGCCGCCTTGCTGCCTGCGTGGACCTGTGGGCACACAAGCCACAGGGATCATGTGGCTTTTGCTATCAGCGTGGACCTGCAGGATGGACACGCCCAGAGGCCTGGGGGGGCCCCATGGGGTGCCTGCTCTGTCCCCAGGAGAAAAAGTCTCTGCTCTGAACACGGGTGGGTGGGCCGGCAGGGTGTGGGGATGTAAGAAGAGGGCTACCCCGGAGCTGCTGGGCTAGGGGCAAGCAAGATGCCCCTTTCGCAACTTGCACATATGTCCAGGGACATGCAAGGGTCATGCGGGAACATGTGTTCACTGAAACACAGGGAGCACACACACGTGGCATGACTCCAGCCAGCCAGACTGCCGAGTAGCCCCTTGACCAGACAGTCCAACCCCCAGTGACCTCACCTCTCATCTCCATTCACCTCTGTCTCCTCACACTCTATTCAGACCACTGACTGCCCCTGGGACCCTCCCGGGCCTCGGGCTCACTCCCCTCTGTGCCCCTGCAGATGCCCTTTGACTCCCGGCCCCTACATCCCAGCTTTACTCCTCCCCATCCTTCAGAGGTATGCAGAAAGACCGTTTCCTGGGAACCCCATCAGGGAGAGCCTGGTAGTGTCTGGTCCTGGAGCTGCCACATCACCTGCCCAGACATGTGCAGGGCCATTCAGCCCCAGATGTCACCCTGGCCTCCACTTCCTACAGGACAGGCTCTCCTCCAGCTGTTGGCCACCCCAGGGTCACCACTGATCTTAAAGAGCCAACCAGCGTCCCCTCCAGGAACCTCACAGTGCTTCTACCCTGATGAAGATCACACAGGAGGACTGGGGACAGGCTCATAGGAAGACTTCAGTAAGCGGCCTGGTGTGTGTGTGTGTGTGTGTGTGTGTGTGTGTGTGTGTGTTTCAGGACACCCCCATCCTGTCCCCCATCCCAGAGCAGTCTCTGGAAATAGATGACCCTCTTCCTGCTCATGGAAGCTTCTGGAAGCCTGGCCAGGCTCAGCTCGGCCAGCCCCAGTAGTGAGTAGGCGATGCGGGTCCAGAGTGCCAGCGGGTCTGGTGTGGGCACTGGCAGAGCCCATCTGGGTAGACCACCTCAAGGGATGTTCCTCCTCTGGAGGGTGACACCCTCAGCCAGCTGGTCCAACATTGTGCTCACTCATAGGGCCTGAGCACCTGTATAGGCCTGTCCTGGAGGAGGTGCCCACTTGGCACCACCCGGCCCTTTCCCCAAGGCCCTGCTCCAGGAGCCTCCCCTCTTCATGGAGACCTGCTCTGTGCCAGGGCCTGGGCTCAGCACTTTACCCATAATTTGCTCGGGGCAACCTCTCAACCATCTAATGAGGGCAGGGCGGTTCTCAGTCCCATTTTACAGATGAAGAAAGAGAGGCTTGGGGGAGGGGATGCCTAGCCTCAGCTCCCCAGAAAGGAGAGGAGTCTTCCCCCTCTGGGGGCCGCTAGCTGCAGGATGACTCAGCCAACACAAGGGGTGCATTCAGGCCCCTGTGGGCGGAGGAAGTTCTCAAAAGCAGGGGCGGCTGGGTCTTTGCCAGCTCTGCTTGGGGAGCTCTGGTCAAAGAGGGCATGAGGCCAGGAAACCATAAATCACCCAAATGCCTTTACCAGCATTGTCTCATGTGTCCTTGGGGCAAGCCCATTTCCTAGATGCGGAAACTGAGGTCTAGAGAAACAAGGAAGGGCATTAGATTCCCAAGTGACAAGATTTCAACCCACACAGGCTGATTCCAAATGCTGTCCTCTCAGCCCCCATGCTTCTCTCAAAAAGGGAGTGAGGGGGGAGAGTGTGTCCCAGGTAGAAGGACCAGCATGGATCAGGGCTTAGCTGGGAGCCGGCCTAGAAGGAGGTTCCTGTTAGGGAGGGGAAGAGATTAATGCAGCCAGAGGGGAGAAGGAACTAGATCTTATAAGGCCTTGTGGGCTCAGTGAGAAGTTAGCATTTCTATGGAGTGATTGGGAGCCCTGGAGGGTTCTAAGCAAGGTAATCACAAGATAGAGCTCAGGTGGCTCCCTGGCTGCTGAGTGGGGGGTGAGCAGACAGGAGAAAAGGGAGGCAGGAGGTCAGCTGGGCAGTTGAAGTATAAACCAGACCCTTACCTGAATGCCCAGACCCTACCCTGCCGGAGCCAGACTGATAGCAGGCTGGTTGGGAGCTGCAGTCAGAGTCTGATGCCACTTGGTCACAGCAAGCTCCAGATAGGCCTGTCCCCGCCCTGCCACTTTGGATACACCACTTAGATTCTTTGGGCCTCAGTTTCCCCATCTATAAGGAGCCCTGGTGGCTCTCTAAGTTAGACATTCGACTGCTAACTGCAAGATTGGTGGTTCAAACCTACCAGCCATTCCTGGGGAGAAAGAGTAGCGTGTCTGCTCCAGTAAAGATGTCCAATCTTGGGAACGGGCTCGAGGGCAGTGGGTTGGGTTTGGCTTTGGCTTCCCTGTGTGCAGGCAAGGCCAGGGAGCGCCCTGACTTCTAAGGGCCATTGTGAAGAAGGCTACCCGAGATGGTTCTGGCATGTGAAACCCCCCAGGGCACCCGTGCTGCTCCTTCCAAGGAAAGGTGTTTGAGTGGTTGGTACCAGCACCGCTAGGGTGGGACCCAGCATGCCTGGATGCTTGGCGAAGGCCAGCAGTCATCATAAATCAATGGATTCGGTGCCCTGGGCTGTGTTCTCAGGGCGCCCTGGGGGTTTGGGGGCTGAGGCTGTAAGCCCCCAGCTCTGAGTGTGGCTGTCCCTACTGGACCCTGGATGGGGGGGGAGACCCTGAAAACCTAAACAGGGTGGGTCTTGGGTCCACTTGGTAAAGGCAGCCCCCTCATAGCAGTCCCTGTAGATACGTCCCTGAGATGCTTGCCGGGCAAGCCTCGGCCTGTGCCTCCACAGCCCTATAAATCTCTTTAGATCCCACCCAATCTCATGCGCAGCCATCCTGTCTCCTTGGGCCTGAGCTGCTGCCGCAGCCCC